ATATGTAAATATTGTGTACACTTTCTTGTCCAATACATTTTGTTCTAAGTACATTTTGTGTTGCATTATTATTCCATGCATTAGTCAAGTTTCAAAAATTTTTTATTTTTAATTTATTTGGTTTAAACGTTATTTATTTTGGCAATGGTTCCCTATTTTGTGATAACTTTTTTTTTGGTTTTCTTGAATTGTCGTGCTAAGGAATAACATCTTTTCTATTTACCAAAGCAGTTGACTTTTGACGTAGTGCTTCGTTAACCCGATCAATAAACATCTGTAGTGACGGCCTTTCCATGTTTCAGAAGCTCGTAATGGAGGACACCGTTCATATTCTATCAGACACAAAGCAGGGACTTTTGTGGATAAATTTCGGCGTTTGGTGTTCGTAATTCTTCCTTATTTTGTGATAATTTATTTTTTTGTTTTCTGTTGATATGCCAAACCCATTTTTCATCACCTGTAACAAAGGGAGGCAAAAATGAAAGGTTGGCATTCCTGGTTCAAAGACTTTATTTCTATATATTTCTACTCCTGATCAACACGTTATGCTGCGTGCACTATGCGACAAAAATCGAAATATTAACAAAATAAAATCCCAATTTCTTAATTTTTATGAATTTGTCAAGCACTTATAAAAAATTCAGGAACAATTTAAATTTGATCAATTTAAAAAAGATTCGGAGCCACTGATTGGTCTAATATGGATGTTTACATGAGCAAGTGTTTGTCTGTGTGAGTAAGCGAGTGCGTGTGTGAGTGTGTGCTTGTCTGTGTGTGAGTGGGAATGTAAACGTATTTTTATAAGAGTTGTTCATTGATGCCTACCACAATTAATGTCCCGATGTTTTCCTCTTTTACTTGCTTCAATAGAATAAAACTAACCCTTTTTAATTAATAAAAGCATCACGGATATTCAATTTCATTTATTTTTTATGGGTTTACGGAAGGCAAGAATAAAAAATTCACACCTCTTAGCTACAGTAGCAAAAACGATAAAGACTTTCACAAACACAGGAAGACGTTCCTTAACCCACCCAATTACATTATCTTTCTCATTCTGTTCAGATCTATCTATCTATCTATCTATCTATCTATCTATCTATCTATCTATCTATCTATCTGTTGTGGTAGGATCCACCTAATTTGCATAGTGGAGTACCGACCATATAAATATGGTTGGTACCGGGAAGAGAGGGAGGAATCAAGAGATTCAACCAGAGACTCTGCCCGACTGCGACTCAGTCAACACATTCTCCAGGAACGGTCTTACCAGGAATATACAAAAGACTATATGTAAATATTGTGTACACTTTCTTGTCCAATACATTTTGTTCTAAGTACATTTTGTGTTGCATTATTGTTCCATGCATTAGTCAAGTTTCAACACTATCTATCTATCTATCTATCTATCTATCTATCTATCTATCTTATTCTGTTAAGATTTATCTTTCTGGGTTCATATCTATGTACACTGATCTTATCATGTCAAAGTAAATTATTTACTAAGTTCAACTAATACCACTGCTCGTTAGAGAAACGCACTGAAATCAAGAAAAACGATTGTCAGTGTCCAGGAAATACTGCATTTCTTTTTATACTGGGTATTAGTGAAGTGAAGTTCTTATGGCTACGCAGGAAAGATTACGGCTAACTCTAAACTTGAAGTGGTCAAGATTTAATTAGTGAATAACATTTCATAATTCTGTCGAAGACTTTAGAAGTAATAGTTTGGATGTAGACTTTAGAAAGAAACGGCAAACCAACTCCTAAACAGGAAACAATGGATAAACCTCTAGCCCTGATAAAAATGAACGTTTTGTCAGGAATCAAATGTACTTTCCTTTTTCCCTCATGCTGGGTGAATTTTCATGTCACTGATTTGACCAACACGGGAACCACACCCTTTTCCGAGAGTAGAGCATCTGGAAAGATGAGAGTAGAGAAAGGATTCGGCGTTTGACGTATGTGTGAAGGAGGGCCTCTACGGTTTTTTTTTTGTTTAGGTGAATATATCTACTTCTATTTGGAGAGTAAAAAAAAAATATTGAATAAAATTTCAGAGCTATGTCGGAGACGTTAGAAGTATAGAATTGAAAGAGACTTTAGAAGGAACCGGAAACCCAATCCTAAACAGGAAACAAGGGATAAACTAATACTTCTGTTCAAGGGAGGAGATTAGACAAATCTATATATTACTATGAAATGGACTAACAATGATTTTAATAAAGAGATTCAATTAAAATAATTTTACCGTAGACATACATTGAAAATCAGAAAGAAATTAAGGAATTAAAGCAAAACTTACGGACAAAGATTTAACTCTGAAAGCGATTCTAAGCTATATTTCTGTAAGCGTTTCACGACGCATTTGAACTGTTTTGCCCAATTAAACTTTGTTTATTGATTCACAGTATGTTTTTTTTTGTTAAATCTGTTTCTAAGTCTTAATGTACAGCATAAAGAAACTAATTGTTAATTATATGCGGTTTCTCTTCAGGGGCGCACCATTTTCTAGTCTCTACTCAAGAAAGCACGGATAAGTAGGTAGTTTTTATCACAGTGTAGAAAACACAAACAACTCAAAATTCAAGGACAAGTGAGGGTATCAGTCTGAAAAAAAAATCGCTTCCTTCAATGAAGCAGAGAAAAGTAGATCTTTCTATATATATAAACATATGCAGACCTAAGTCGTCTGCCATTCCTCTTCAAAATGTTAAGCGACAAAAATACATACACGTATTGGTTGCTCCCGTAATAGTAGAGAGTTGATGAGTAACGCACACGCGAGCATAAACATATACAAACACAGACGCACATGCCTAGCTACATGATCACACACACAAACACACACACACACACACACACACACACACACAGTGTACCGACTAATATAAAACGCAATGTGTATCCCACGGATAAAGCACGCCTGGTTGAAAGATGATTTACCCAGGATAAAGAGAATGCAGGTTCTATCACTGCCGAGAAGCAAATATTCTTTTATAAAACTTCCGATTACCCAGGCCAGTAAATGTAATTTTAATGGTTAAAAAAATCAGTGATGCCTACACAAACACGTGTACCGCTTAAATATAATATTTATCATGATGATAATAGTAACAAGATCTATTTATTTCTTGGAACAGTGCCAAATTGTTTAACTTTCCGACTCTGGGCACCTCGAGGTGTTGTAATGGTTAGCAAGCTTGTTTCGCTAGAACAATTACGATTGAGTAGTGAGTTCGATCCTCACTGGGTGCTTCATGCTTTCGGCCTTGTGCCACATCTGAGCTACGCTTGGAAAAAAGTTGTGTTTGAATGAGTGCTTGGGATGAATGAATGTTTTATACTATTATAGTCCCGCATCGATTTCTGCCAGTGAACTGATATTTCTGCCACATTTAGTGATTGTAGGGGGTTTTATTACTAATATTATTTTCTTTACTTTCTTGTAAATAGTTTTGTATTCATATCGTAAATATTTATTGGGGCTAGTTTTTTTAGAATTGTTGTTTTATTCCCCTCCCACCACAGACAATGAATTATAAATATGGGGACTAGTCAGTATTTTCATAGAGACAGTGAGGTATTATGGTGGATGTAGTAAGAAAGGTGCGTATGAATGTGTTGTTTTGGTGTAAGAAATATTGTTCGTACGATTGGTTCAGTGTTTGCGGCTAGCTAAGTTATAGTTAAGACAGAAGAAGACCGTCCTTTCCCCCAATCCCCTCTACGGCCTTGTGCCACATTTCTGTATTGTACAGAATGAATATCGCTTTCGAATTCTCTGCCTTGAGCAGAGAGGAACCCGGATGAGACTTTGCGGAAGGGCAAACTTTTGTCCCGGGAGGTAGACAGACCCGGAACCCACTTATGCGGGTTCTACAGGAATATCTTTTGGCCGAGCCTACGGGCTTGGAGAACCCACGGTCAACTCGGCCTTGTGCCACATACATCCCTCGTTTGGGGGGGGGGGGCAAAACATCATCCTTGGAAACGTGAATTATGATTTTTTGCTGTGCCTTTAAAATCCAGTAATTTTAAAAGTTACTCCAAAATTTGCTTGAGGATGAAATGGAACCAATGTCTTTAATTTAATTACAAAATTAAATTCAAAGCTTTTAGCTTCCATTTTTGAAACATGGTTAGAACTGTGTAGTGGAAAAACCATATTTTAAATCAATTACTTTATAATATATATATATATATATATATATATATATATATATATATATATATATATATATATATATACACACACACACACACACACACACACACACACACACATATATATATATATATATATATATATATATATATATATGTCTGTGTGTGTGTACAGAGTGCATTTTATAGTTTTATATTTTAATTTCACGCATGTGTTTTGTTTATTTTTGATTTTGCCGACTGCACACTATAGTTGGGTCAGTTGGGCACCGTCCGTGAGAAAAGCGCAAAATGCCAAGAATGTGGAGTGAGCACAAATCACTTCAGCTGCCATTAGAACACACTTTCGCCAAATTTAAACAGTCAGGTCAAGCCGGATGTAGTACGGACATGTGCCACTACTCTTTGCGCGAGTTACAAGTAAGGAACTCTTTTGAAAGGGATGAAGGAGACGAAATATTTTGTTTAATACTTTATTCGTGTCAAATTCCCCATCTAGTATTTTTCAGCATATAATGCGCACCGGCGCATAATAAGAACGAAAGTAATTTTAGGGAAATAAATTCACTTTCAGATTTGAACTGGTAACAGATGATCAAATATGGAGATGTCATTATTATTTAGAATGGAATTACAAATGATTTTCGAAAGAAATATTCAGAAGAATATAGGCGTTGTGTTGGTGCTACCCATAGGCCAGATCGAAACCATTAACTTCTTATCTGTATAATGTAAGGGAAAATGAAAGAAAAAGTATTCATTATATGATATGAGATACGGAATCAATCTATCTATCTGCGTGTATTTACATGTATGTATGTATGTATGTATGTATGTATCTATCTATCTATCTATCTATCTATCTATCTATCTATCTATCTATCTATCTATCTATCTATCTATCTATCTCCGTGTATGTACGTATGTATGTATGTATGTATCTATCTATCTATCTATTTCCGTGTATTTACATGTACGTATGTATGTATGCATGCATGTATGTATGCATATATGTATTTATCTATCTCCATTCACATTTATCTAACTCCGTTCACATCTATCTATCTATCTATCTATCTATCTATCTATCTATCTATCTATCTATCTATCTATCTCAGTGTATTTACATGTATGTACGTATCTATTTATTTAGCTCAGTTTATATCTATCTATCTATCTATCTATCTATCTATCTATCTATCTATCTCAGTGTATTTACATGTATGTATGTATGTATCTATCTGAAGTCTGTTCAGATCTCTCTCTCTATATATATATCTAATGCTGTCTTCCTTTTTCGTTCTTTCTTTGTGCCTCCTGTTATCCATCCCATGTCTCTGCTCCTCCCCTGTTTTTAACCCCTTCACTCCTTCTGCTCCTCCCTCGCTTCTAAAGTGCAGCAACTGCCGACCGCACCAATGCAAACTGCCACAATTGCATCAGCCTAAAGAAATGCCAGCCGTAGGAAGGAGGTAGGTGTTTTTTTTTCTGCTGCGTATTTGTGGCTTGTAAGTAAACCCGCCCTACATTGCCGGAAGCTCGTATCAGGAATGTTACTTGTTGCTAACGACTCATGCAGACGATTTGAGATCGAAAGCGTCCGATTCTTCCTAATTTTGAATATGTCCCGTTCTAACTGAATATTTGAAAAAAGATCGAGAAACAGAGACTTGTCGATTACTTGTGTACTGATTTCAATTCAATTACATCCAGGCTTTTACGGAAGTTGTTTTTATTTTTTAAAATACTAGACTTCATCTAATAGAAGACCCGAAAACCACTCAAGATAGAGGTTTAGTGTTAAATGCTAATGATAAATGAGGTATGTAATATGATTGAAAGATTGTAAGGAGTAAAGATTACGAGTAGAAGTAGAATAGATAAAGACTGATCTTTGAGTTGAAGAGATTTATATTGTGATGTTCAGGCACGTCGCCGAGTGGTTAGAACGTTCGATTTCTGAATGGTATCACCATGGTCGATTTGTCAGGAAGGTAACTTCTTGATGTCGTCTGGAAGTTAATTTCTTGATGTTGTCTGGAAGTTAATTTCTTAGTGTTGTCTGGAAGGTAACTTCTTGATGTTGTCTGGAAGGTAATTTCTTGATGTTGTCTGGAAGTTAATTTCTTAATATTGTCTGGAAGTTAATTTCTTGATGTTGTCTGGAAGGTAATTTATTGATGTTATCAGGAAGGTAATTTTTTGATGTTATCAAGAAGGTAACTTCTTGATGTTAATTGAAAGGTAATTTTTTTAAGTTGTCTGAAGGTAATTTCTTCATGCTATCAGAAAGGTAACTCCCTGATGTTGTCTGAAGGTAATTTCTTGATGTTATCAGGGCGGCAACTTCTTGATGTTATCAGGAACGTAACTTTTTGATGTTGTCTGGAAGGTAATTTTTTGATGTTGTCTGAAGGTAACTTCTTCATGTTATCAGGACGGTAACTTCTTGATGTTATCAGGATGGTAACTTCCTCATGTTATCAGGATGGTAACCTCTTGATGTCTGGAGGGAATGTTCCAAGCATGTGACACACCTTTGGAAAGTGTGTGAAAACCATACCACGGATTGACCCAAAACTTCTGAGTGAAACTGGCCGACGGAACCCTTTGGTAGCCGTCGTTGGTTGGGTTAGTTGCAAGTCATTGTGACTGTTGATCACGCTAGATAACGCGCACTTTCCCAGAAACCGTAACTAAAGTTCGCTCAGCATAGTTGAAGTATAAGCAAGTGGGCTCTGTAGGTGTTGAACAAACACAAATGTGCCTGAGCAGGCGTCTGCAACGTGGAATAGCTAGCCGCCCTAGTAGACTGGCATCTTCGCATACGAGTGGCTGCGACCTTTTTTTATGTTCAGGGAAGCATTCACACAGGAGCCTATACCACAAAGTAGTAATCCTTGGGAAAAGCTGATTGTAACTTTCTTCTTACCATTAGAACTCTAGAAAATAAGGGTGATTCTACTCATGGTGCATTCTAACAGTGAGGGTCTGAAATCGTGAAGCTAAAGAATGGAGCGCTCATCTGAACATTTTGCATGGAAATAGCGATAACTTGCAGTGTGGAAAATGACACATCTCTCCTAAGACCGTGTAAATGATTTTGAATTCTATTGAGGCTGCTAAATGATGATTGAGCATTTCCATATGGCAACAACACTCCATTTTTATGTTCTCATCAGACATTTCATCATTGGATCCAATATCCTGATCAAAGGGAATATCAGTCTCCTAATTCCCTAAAACACTTCTTAAATGACTTAATCACTATATCACTTAATTTTTTTCCTGTGTGTTCTTCACTCACATGCATACATGAGCAAGCATCGTTTTTTCCTTCGTCCAGTAGGTGGCGCAGAATATCTTCCTGTTTCATCCATATTTTCTGTCACGTATAATTCGTATATTTTTTAATCGCTTCACCCCATGCATGGCAGTAATACCACTAAGATGCAAGACGCTGCCGGAAGTGAAAGAAAATGAGCATACTTTAGGAGAAACCGAAAACCCAATCCTAAACAAGAAACAAGGGATACACCTCTGCTCCTGTTCAAAGACCGGGGAGGGGAGTGAATCGGATAATTGGCGAATCTATCTACCTCTGTTGAGAATTAACAATAAATAAATAGTAAATAAAATTAAAGAGTTTAAGTGGAGATGTAAGAAATATAGTGTTGAAGTATACATTAGAAGGAACGGGAAACTCAGTCCTAAGTAGGAAACAGGGGATAAACCCCTACTCCTGTTCAAAAGACCAAGGAGGAGTGCGATAGCGTATTCAAATGAATTAAACTATGCACATCTATTTAACTTAATGCATAGCAAAAGTGGTGATTTTCTAAGTGTGGCTTAGATGTGGCACAAGGTCGAAAGTATAAAACACCCAGTGAGGATCGAACTCACTACTCAGTCGTAATTAATCTAGCGAGACAAGCTTGTCAACCATTATATCACGTCAAAGTGCCCAAAATGATTTCTAAGCGTAGCTTAGATTTGAGAGTATGGAATAGCAATAGTGGTCATTTTTCCAACAATCTCAGCAACGGGTCATGTATATGAGGTCCTCTTGAGATCTGGAATAAAGCTGAGATTCAATAGCCGTTCAAAACTTGGATCCTGGTTTCAACTTCTCATTCTGTCTCCAATCAAATTTTTTACAAGGCCCGGCAGCCACTCCAGGTAGAGCGATACGTTTGGTGGCCATTTGTGTGAATAGAAGTGGAAGATAACGGTTAACCCTAGCCTTGAACAGGTTAGGATTGTAGTGATCGAGGGAACATCCTCTTGGGAGTCGGTTCCACAGGGCAGCGGTTCACAGGAAGAAGCTGTTAGAGTGGAACTTACTTCCCACTGATGGAATACGGAGGGAATGTGGATGGTTTGCTACGATGTAAGTGGCATGACGTGTTCTTGCTGTGAAGGTTGACCTCAGCGGGACCAGGGAATGTAGTTCGTCCGAGCACTTTGCGTGGAAGTAGCGGTACAGCAGCGAGAGGATAGGCACATCCCGCCGGTGGGAGAGATGTTGAAGGGTGGTGAATAATTCATCATCCAGAAGGGCTCGGAGACTCTTTTGAAGGTTAGAGAGTGTGTGTTGTATAGCCCCTGAGTGCTGGCGGACAGTCTCGGTGACGACGGTTTTGATTCACTTATATATTGTTTTTCTTGTAATGGAATGTCCCACTCTTCCTATTAACTATTATGGACTGACTATATCGGTATGTAGTGTGCATAAGACATACAAGAGTCTGACTGTTTGTCTATCTGTCTGACTGGATTCGGGAAGTGTTCGTTCACTCCCTGTCTTTCAGTAGTGTATTCTCTTTTACAATAAACCTCTCTTTGTTCCATCTACGCCCGCGTTGCTGTTCCTTTCCACTCGGGTACCACCTTTGTTGTTTGTAACCTTTTTAAGGATACAACATTTTTCTTCTTTCTCGACCGCTGATCGCCAGTTTTTTGTTCGGAGATAAATTAGAACCCCAACAAAGGAATTTTAACTTAAATATTATTTTATTAATCATGTCGACGGGTACATATTCTAACTAGCTGGTGGGGTTTCTCTCTCACCCCAACTGGGGAGCAAGTTCCCAGACACGAAAATACCACGTCTACATTGTTATACATGTAAGAACTGACTCACTAGAATCCCTTTCTACATCCAACATTCCCACGTTAGTTTTAGCCAATCAAAAACGACGTCCGTTGTTTTCCTGCATCTGAACTCAAAGGTCAAAATGAAGAAGTCAAAAGAGAAATAGAATTATCTAAAAATAATAGTCTGCTAGACTATTATTTAACGTGAGGTCTGGGTACCTCCCGCCCAAATATAGTAAAAGTGAGAGGCAATGTGAATTATATTTCAAGTGTCTTACGAAAACAAAATATTTTACTAGCTGGACAGTTTCGTAAAATTTTGTGTACTATGAAGAAGCGTGGACACGCCGGCGTGACTCAGTGGGTTTGACATTTTATGAACATTAACTATGGCGAAATATTTTGCTCAGATCACTGGAGAATAAATTATGACAAATATAAAAAAAAGCAAAACAAATCGGCTAAGAAAAAAATCATTCCCTATCAATTCAAGTAAGGATTGTTTATAGACCTACATAGCTCTGGATAACAAATAAACGACAACTATTAGAAAAAATCAAAACATATCAGCTCAGAAAAAAATAATTCCCTATCACTCAAGTAAGGATTGTTTATAGACAAAGATCTGGATAACAAATAAACGACAACTTTTAGGAAAAAAAAAAAAAAAAAAAAAATCGGCCCAGAAAAATAACATTCCCTATCCTTCAAGTAAGGATTATTTATAGACCGACATAGCTCTGGATGCACACTGACATTTCCTGGGATGTTGAAAATCCAGTTTTTTAAATAAATAAATCATAAAACTTCTTTTTTTGTTAATTTTTCGAAAAAATAGCTTCTCAAATTTTAGTACAGTGTAACCCGGATATAAGAGACCCGGATATAAGAGAAACCCGGATATAAGAGAGATTTTCTCTGGTCTCAAATTAGAGCCTGTGTTAATATATATGAAATAGACCAAACCCGGATATAAGAGATTTCTTCTCCGGTCCCGACAACTCTCTAATATCCGGGTTACACTGTATATATATTATACGCGGGGAAAGCTATATATCTCATTCCAGAAAGAATGTACAAGCGAAAAAAGAAAAAAAAAACTGTTTATTTGAAACCGTTAAAAAATGTTTACAGTATTGTTTATTGTTTATAAGAGAATCAAATAAAAATATAAAGTCAGATATCTTTGAAACTCAGTATCTGATTTAGTCCCTCTAATTTTAACATTTGATTTAGCAACACTCTGCTTTTTATTTTGTGGTTCTTTGCTTGCGAATGGCACCATAAGGTCAGTTTAAATAATTTTTTAGTCTCAGAATTTAGTGCATAAGTATATAAAATAAATTGTTCACTCTTAGTGAAGAAAAGTCCTTGTGTGCGTCAACCTGAAGGGATTTAGATGAAACAGAGCGAGCGTACTCGAGAAACTTTCCTCGCTGTCTCACGCACACCAATTACAATTGTCTTCTTACACTCAGTAGATTGTCGTGATGTTTTTCGAACGCAAGAACCATCTGGATCGGTCCTAAAATTGCTTTTTGTTATTTGAATCTTTTTCCAGCACGACCGGAAGTAAAGTGCAAAGTCTCTGAGCAGAAGACACAGTTATATACTTCTCACACCGACCTAGAAGTGTAAACTTCCATTAAGTTTTTCAAATGATCTTCCAGTCTCTATTTCAAATACAGTGATGGAGCAGGTTTATTGTTTTTAATCTACTTTATTCATTATCATTTGCCATTTTATTATTCATTAACATATGTTTTAAATATTTTTGCGAGAAAGTTTGTTTATTATTTATTTATTCTGCAATGTTCTATTTACAAAAATAATTATGAATTATAGCTTTTAATATATTCACTAGTTCAGTAACTTTCGCTTCGCTGACGGCGAAAGATCAAATTATAAATCTAAATTGTTTGTCTATTTTAAAATATTTTAAATTTAAATACAGAAGATATCTTAAAAATAACTTTAAAGGACCGTATTCTTCTGCTTATACGCTTTTCCTGTTAGCCGTGGTTTGTTGCCAGACAGAGCATAAAAGTAAAGTTATTCCTCACGAAACAAATGTCCCTTTCAATTTCATTATGTGCATATGCACGTTTGCGAGTGCGCAGGTGTATTTCAATTTAATGACTTATCTTAAAATATTTCTAAAAAATAAAAAAGGGTTTAAAAATAATTTTATCTACTACCGAATAATTTTGAAAAAGTTGAATTAAATCTCATAATAATCTGAATTTTTTTAGTCCTTAATATATTAATATTTTTGGTTTCTCCGACTTTATAATTCTTTTGCGCAGCCCATTGTAACAGTTGTCCAGACTGAGTGGGAGTGGAACGTATTATTCTGATGCCTGATTTCAAACTTAGTCAAATTTTGTATACCTGTGGTCGAGTGTACAGTAAATGGCACATGCACATGTAAGTCGCTCTCTCACAACAGAGACATATGCATACACGCTACACACGCGCATACAGTGTCATACGCAGACAGCGCGTGACGGACAACGAATAAGTTCTACTTTATTATAAAAGAAACAATCTATATTATAAAGTATATTTCTTACGATAAAAATAAACATTACTCCAAATGTTAATTTTATATATATCCTGTCATAATCATCAAAACCTTAAATGCAATGCCGAACATCATCTTCTGTCATTTTGAATCCTGTTCTTTTTATTACCCCTTCTCCTCGGTAACGTTTTCTCAATTTCCTTTTCTCTCAATCATTTCACCCCAAGCAAAGCAATAAAGTAAATTTAGGGAAATAACTTCACTTATTTCAGGTAGGGGCTGGTATTAAACGATAAAATACGGAGATGTTATTATCGTTTAGGATAAAAATTAAAAATGATTTTGGAAAGAAATATTCCGAAGAATATAGGGTGTGAGCACTTCTACACGTAGTCTAAATCCAAACCTTTAATTTCGATGCATGATGTGCATTATGTAAGAAAGAATGAAGGAAAAAATTATTCATTATGTAATAAGAGCTATGGAATCTATCTACCTATCTATCTATCAGCTATGATGCATGATGTGTTTTATGTAAGAAAGAATGAAGGAAAAAATTATTCATTATGTAATAAGAGCTATGGAATCTATCTATCTATCTATCTATCTATCTATCTATCAGCTATGATGCATGATGTGTTTTATGTAAGAAAGAATGAAGGAAAAATTATTCATCATGTAATAAGAGCTACGGAATCTATCTATCTATCTATCTATCTATCTATCTATCTATCTATCTATCTATCTGTTGTGGACTCAGAATAGGTCCAAAAGAAAACTCGAACTCAGCAATTTACTGAAAACATATTATTAAAAAAAAAGAACGGATACAAAAGTGTTGCACGTCCGACTGACGGCAAAGTACAGTCGTCAACTGTAGACAGCGATATTTAGTTACGCCCCCAACGAGGGTTACACGTGGCACAAGGCAGGTTTAACGTGTGATCTCCTCGCCCGTAGGCTCGGCGAAAAATAATCCCTCTTTGAACCCGCATAAACGGGTTCAGGGGCAGTCAACCTCCCCGAACGAGACTCTGCCCTTCGGCGGAGCCTCGTCCGGGTTCCTCTCCGCCCGAAGGCAGAGAGTTCGACTGTTTAGCTGTAACAGGTCAACTGCAGACAGCTATCTTGTGAGGCATAATCTCCCCGTATATATAGTAATAGGACGAGTCCATTTAGTCCATAAAGTTAGGTCCCATAACACTATTCAAAACTGTTCATATCTATCTCAAATCTGTTTAGATCTCTCTCTCTCTCTCTCTCAATATATATATATATATATATATATATATATATATATATATATATATATATATATATAAAATGCATGTGTTGTGACCAATTAAATGGTTAAAGAAATAACAAAACAAGTGTTGCAGATATATCATATATTAAACAGTAAGTACAACAGAAGAGTATTACACGACTAGTGAGTGTGTGTCGGTTGACCCAGCGTTGGGGAACAATCTATTCGATTGTTCCCCAAAGGCCTTCTCTCTTACTAATCTTATAGTAGGCGGAAGAGTCAAACATAGACTTTTTAGAGGGAGGACACCACAACAGTATGTATGTATCTGACGTACTATACCATTTAGCTACAGAGAAGCGTCTGGTTAGCAAAATTCAAACTACTGTTTATAAACACACAAACTTCAAAGATTTTTCTCGATCAATCTTATCTTCTCACGAAACGTATCTTAACGTAAACAATGACAACAATTAAGTCCGACAAATATTTAATGTATTTTCTGTTTATTTATACGAACATTCAGGCCGGTAAATGTAATTAATACTGTTTAATTAAAAACGGAGCATTTACTTAAATAAATTGTATCTATGAAATAACGTATAAACAGAAAATATATTAAATAATTGTCGGACTTAATCCATTTCATTATATGTTGTCATTGTTTACGTTAAGGTACATTTCGTGAGTAGATATGATAGATCGAGAAAAATCGTCGATGAATGTGTTTATAAACAACAATATTTATATACATACATATATACATACATATATATATATATATATATATATATATATATATATATGATACTTTCTTCTTACTTTCTCTTTCTTTCAGTGACCTAAACCATCTCTCCGCTGCTTCCCTGTTTTCAACCCTTTCTCACTCTCTCTCTCTCTCTCTCTCTCTCTCTCTCTCTCTCTCTCTCTCTATCTATCTATCTCAGTGTATTTACATGTATGTATCTATCTATCTGAAGTCTGTTCAGATCTCTCTCTCTCTCTCCATATATATGCTGTCTTCCTTTCTTTCTCGTTCTTTCTTTGGGCCTCCTCTTACCCATCCCATCTCTCCGCTTCTCTCCCTGTTTTCAACCCCCTTCACTCTTTCTGCTCCTCCCTCGCTTCAAACGTGCAGCAACTGCCGACCGCACCAATGCAAACTGACACAAATGCATTCGATAGACATTCATTTTTCTTTTTAATCATTTCATTCCAAGCAAGGCAATAAAGCCACTAAGTTGTGTGGGGGTTATGCTTAATGTTCGGGGAAGAATATGAGTAAAAGAAGAACATTATTAAGGAAGGAGAACATTAAGAAGAACAGGAAGTAAGAAGACAGAAGTTAACGACTGATATTACATTTAAAATTTTGAAGATCAAATTTAAAAGGGGCCCTGAAGAGAGTTTCACAAGCGAAAAATGTGAAAATAGAAGCTGGTAGTATAGAACTTAAGTTGACATGTAGCAATTTCAGCTGTAAAATGATGAGACCAAACTGACAATCTAGTACTGCGTTTAAACTCATAAAGTCTAGGTACAAGTCCACTCGATAAGCTACGGCGGTGGGAAATTATTAAAAACAAATTTACTGATGATGATGATGTGTGGATGCTAATTTGGTACAGACATGCCACCAGACCCATCACCGTGCAGTAAATGACTAGATAGGCCAATCTGGTTGCTCATTAATACTGTGCAGTGAGTTTCATTCGCCCTGTGTGGCCTGCAAATGAATTCGACATGGAAGTTGAAAAGTTGTAAAATGAAAAAATGTCGTAAAAGTTCATAAATTCAACATGAAAGTTGAAAAGTCGTAAAGTAAAAAGAAGAAAAGTCGTAAAAGTTGACACGTCGTAAAATCAATTAGAGTTGTTACTGGTATCGGTCACGGTTGGAGGTGGTAGAGAAAAACTTGTTGGTCTACAAGATCAAATAGTCTGTGTACCACTGCTCAAAAACACCA